CGATTCTATGACATATAAAGAGCTTTACCAACAGTTGTTTGACGTACATGTGGTGTCACCATATCCATAGAAATCCATGAAGCCCCGTACCCCAGGTAGTATGATGAGAATGCTCATTACGAATATCATAGCGGTGTCCTAGGGCACTATTGAGAACTACTCCACATTCAAGAGAATCGTATAGAAAATACATAACAAAAATTGGATCGACTTCAACAACTCGGGGGCATCCAAGTGAAGAAGATCATTTCATCAATTGAGGCATTTTGTTTGAGTTTGTTTTTTCATTTTTTCTCAAGTTTTTGTAAGAACATTTGAATAAATTTATGTTACTTTAATGATGATGAGCAATGAATCACATTTGCAAACTTGCAATTCTTTGAATATCAACTGAATTAAGAAACTCTATAAATGGTTCAAAGTTATAGATCTCTGACAAAGTAACATGATTTAAAACAAGGACTTTTTACCTTACCCAGAATATACACTCAGGCACCGTACCCTGCTCGTGCAATTAACCAATATAACCTTTTCCTTTCATAAGGTGCGGACAACGTGGGGAATCCTTTTGCTTATGACATTACTATGCTTTTTATTTAAGACGTTCAATGATGATCATTATCTTTACAGATGGAATAGTCGAGTAAGTGAATCTAGTTAAGGTCAGTTGCTTAAAAATTGAACTCTAAAGATGAAATTTTTTACTTTCAACAACACCTAGACTATAACAGGTTCTTCTTGACAATCGTAAGAAATTAAATCCGTAAAAATTGAGCTATTCCGCTAAGGGAATTGGTTATAGAGGAAACTTGAAAGCTCTGGCTTTATGAGTAGATTACGTTCAAACCATGACATTGCTCGAACACTTGGCAATTCGGTGTTTGCTCCACTGCTATTGTCCGGCTAAAGACTTTGTGATGAGATGAACCCTTTAGTTAACTTGATAGAACTGATTATAATGTTAAGTTATCCCTCTAAAGCAATTGGTTAAGCACCCCGACTTTATGGATTCAGCTAGCCAGATAACTACAAATTGAATCAAAGCAAGAAATTTTTCGGTAATGATAGACTAAGGGAGTTAAGGAACACCTTTTATAGTCAATTTCACACGAGCACTCAAGAATTTCATTTTTAGATCATATTTTTGCACTACCTTTGTTAGAGGAGCCTACTAAGCTTGAACAAATGGAAGATTTCAGAGGACCGAAATAAAAGGTCTAGTAATTGATCATGGTAGTTGCGTCATTTTGTCCGCACCCAATTAAATGCCATAAAAAACATGTTGCGATATTTCAAAAAATGACATTTTGGATGACTGAAACCTTAGAAAGGAGTCCAACCTAAAGCCAACTCATCTATTTGAACATTTTCAAAGAGCTGTAACTCTGAAAGCATTAAAAGAGCTATTGATTCCTTTGATATACTTTGAACTCATGTTTATAATTTGATTCAATTACGAACAATATTTTACAACATTTTTATCATTTTCCCTCCTAAAACAAGAAAAATGAGAAAAATGTTTTCAAACAGAACAGTCTCAGATATGAAAGATCTGTAAAGCCAAAGCTTGAAAAAAGAATGGGGCACAATCGATTCCATGGACCAGATTGGCAGACAAAACACGAGACTCCAATCCAAGAGATAAAACATAACTCATTCATGTTGCATGCTCTTAGACATACTTAAGAGAATCACATTTATCATGTTTAGCACACATAAAATTTTACAGCTTTTAGAGTCAAATTTTAACTTCAAGATGAAATACTCGATTCAAAAGCGCATTCAGAAAATTGATGGTGGTTTCTCAACTTTACAGTAAAGGGGCGAATGCCAACAAACAACTTTTCAGTTTCATTCAGAGTCAATTTCAACTTCACAGCGAAGGATATTGGACTCGAGACAACACAAGCTCAACTTCACAGCGAAGGGGCGACTGACTGTCAACAAACAACTTTTCAGTTTCCTTCAGAGTCAATTTCAACTTCACAACGAAGGATATTGGACTCGAGACAACACAAGCTCAACTCCACAACGAAGGGGCGAATGACTGTCAAATAAATAACTTTTCAATTTTATTCAGAGCCAATTTCAACTTCACAGCGAAGGGCGGCTGACTGTCAACAAACAACTTCCCAATTTTATTCAGAGCCAATTTCAACTTCACAGAGAAAGATATTGGACTTGAAACAATACATACATGGATTTCAACTTCACGACGAAGGGGCCATCCACAATTTCAACTATATAATGGAGGATATCGTACCCACACATCCACGATTTTAACTCCACGATGGAGGATATCGTTCCATTTGAGGCTCAACTTCACGACGAAGTGGCTTCTAAGTTTTAGAGCCAATTTCAACTTCACAATGGAGGATATTGGACTTGAAACAATACAACTTACTTGGATTTTAACTTTACGATGAAGGGGCCATCCACGATTTCAACTCCACACGGAGGATATCATACCCACACATCCACGATTTCAACTCTACGACGGAGGATATCGTGCCATTTGAGTCTCAACTTCACGATGAAGGGGCTTCCTAGTTTCAGAGCCAATTTCAACTTCACGAAGGAGGATATTGGACTCGAAACAATACAACTTACTAGGATTTTAACTTTACGTCGAAGGATATTCAAGTCAAGGCTCAACTTTACGACGAAGGCTCAACTTCATGACGAAGGGGCCATCCACGATTTCAACTCCACGATGGAGGATATCGTACCCATACATCCACGATTTCAACTCCACGACGAAGGATATCATGCCATTTGAGGCTTAACTTCACGACGAAGGGGCTTCCCAGTTTCAGAGCCAATTTCAACTTCATGACGGAGGATATTGGACTCGAAACAATTAAACTTACTTGGATTTCAACTTCACGATGAAGGATATCCAATTCAAGGCTCAACTTCACGACGGAGGGGCCATTCACGGTTTCAACTTCATGACGAAGGGAATCGTGCACACAAGTAACATCCATCTCCATATTTGGATTTCAATTTCACGACAAAGGATATCCAACTCAAAAATGAGTTTCTGTCAATAAACTTTCCAGTTTCAGAGTCAATTTCAATTTCATGGCAAGGATATTGGCCTCGGAACAACAACATTCATCTTGAAGATTGGATTTCAACTTCACGACGAATGATATCCAATTCAAGGCTCAACTTCACAACGAAGGAGTTACCCATGATTTCAACTTCACGAAGAAGGATATCGTACCCAATGGATCGACTTAGTGTCACAACAAACACTATCAAGTCTGAACTCAAAGAGAACTGACAAAAACTGGTTGTCTTTTTCATCTTTGCCTTATTCTTGTTAACATAAAAATGTGCAAAGAGGGACAGCTGTAGACACCGTTTTTGTCTGGGTCTACAAAAATATTTTATTATATTATATTTTTATTATTAATAATATTTTTTCTTTTGTTTGTAGGCCCCACACTCAACAACCCTAATTTAGTGAGATTCAGAAAATAAATCAACATATTTGAGTCCTATTAAAACACTAAAATCAACGTATTTGAGTCCTATTAAAACACTAAAACTGAAGCATTTGAGTCCAAGTAGGACTCTAAATCTGAGCTAAAAATAGGTTTCTTTATACTATAAATAGACTCAAGCATCAAGAGGAAATGACATAGAGAAAAACGAGGGACCACATTCCAGAGTCTGAAACACAAAACACCCAGTGTGCTGCTGCTTCACAAGATCCCAAGACATTTAAATCCAAGTCCGGTGTACACCAGTGGCGCAAAAGCAAGCAAGAAAAGCGCTAAGGATTTGTAGCTGAGCTGAATACACGAACTTTAATTTCCATTGCAGTTCGAAAGGTTTTTAAATTTCAATTTCAATTTTCGCAATTAAAGACAACCGATAAATTAATTGGTATTGAAAGGGCAGTTCAAGGGTGCTATCCTTCCTTGACCGTAACCGACTCCCGAACCCGATACGTTTCTGGTACAACGCAGATCAGGTAAGATGGTGTCCGACCCACCTAAATTCTTTTTAAAATGGTCGGTGGCGACTCTAACCCAATTCATTCAAGTTGAAGCCCAATTTCGGGCCAACCGAAAGACGGCCGCGACAATAGTTTTTTAGATTCTAGTATCTATATCGTATGTTATTTACTTTCGAATCCTTGAGTCTTTTATATGTTTAAATATTTTTTCATTTAAAGATTTTTTTATTTAGTCACTCATTTGCATAGTTGGTTTAATTTGTGTTATTTTTCATTTTGACCCATCGTGTTTGTATGTTAGAATTTTGGTCCCTTATAGTTGATGTATATATGCCCATGTAAGAGTAAGTATTATACTATAGTTTGACTAGTTTTTTATAAATGCGTTTTATACCTTATTCGACGTGTATATATATATATATATATTCTTTTACATATCCAATATATTTTAACCTTTACATATTAATGTGTATATATTTAATATTATTACTAATTAGAACTAATATTTTTGAAAGATTACAAAACGCCTCTTTTACTAATATTTATTTTATTATTTTTTTACTCGAATATTTTTCAAGAATGCTCATTGTAGAATGGGCGTGAAAAGCACCGCTATGTAAGAGAAATGTGATTCGACGACATTCAAACGAAAATTAAACTTGATCAATTTTAATGAAAAAGACCATACTTTAATTTTAGACTCAAATTTACAAATTCCATTGTTACGGCAGTGTATAAGCGATTAGGTACTAATTTCAGGCGTTGTAAGGGTGCTTACCCTTCCCCACGACTTTCGAACCTAAAATGAATTCTTGGTAAACGCAGACCAATTTTTGTCTTTAAAATTATTTTCTTAAAAATAATTTAAAAGACATTTTTAGGTATTGGATTTACCTAACCTAAAGGTTTATGGTGACTCTAAAATTCAAACTAAATCAAATTTATTAAAAATATCAATTTTTCCAAAATAAAGTCATTTTTTTAATTCGATTATTTCGTTTTAAAAACATAATGATAGGTCAAATGCAAAAACCCATGCATAGGACATTTCCGCAGTAAATCCTTGAATCTTTCCCATGTTTCAGACAAGTTTTCATCCTCCATTTGGTTGAATGAAGTTAGACCATTTCAAGTTTGGCGTTCATGTTTGGCAGGTTGAATTGCAACAAATATTTCTACGCTAACTCATTCCAGGATACTATAGCACATGGTGAAAGTGAACTCAACAATATCACGTGCTTTGTCATGCATTGAATAAGAAAATAGCTTTAACTTTGGTGCCTCATTCATAACATCTTCCATGAACACTCTCAAATTAGCTCTAGGATCTTCACAACATCCCTTCATACTGTCCCATAGATTGTAACATTTAGAACATGACTAGTTTTAACTCAAAGTTCGTAGCATTAATCATTGGCCTCAAAATGCCCGAATGCATATCTTCCAGCATCGACACCTCTTTCTAACATATCGGGTGATTACTAACATCCAAGTTTTGATTTGGTTTTCTAGCTCCAATGGCAACTGGCAAATCACCATTCTCTCTATTCTACAATGGGGGTAAAATACCATTCCCTCATCCAACCATATTTGTTCTGTTCTGGCACCTTTACGGCGACGTCTCCTAAAAGTCCTTTCAATCTCTGGATCAAACTACTTAATTCTTAGTCACTTCGAGACATACACTAGCAATAATGAATCATTAAAAGTACCTACAAAATAAAATAACAAAGTAAATAAAAAAATAAAACCCTAAATCAAACCGATGCTCCCTAGTAATGGCGCTAAAAACTTGATGCTATAAAATTGATACAACATTCAACGTAAGTGCACATGTCGCATATCAAGTAATAAAGTGGTAGCAAATGATTTCTACGAATGTCGAACCCACAAGGAGCAAGTTTTCATTAGATTTTGTAAGCATAAAGAATGTTGAGTATGAAAAATTCTAAGTAAAGGGTAATAAAATCAATAAAAGAGATACCAGTTCATGCTACAACAATCCATAGAGCAATAAGTCAGTTATCAAATCGATAGAAAAGATATTGTGAACATCATACCTTATGTAAACAAAGCACACTAAATCTATGTGATCAACATTGATAAGACCTTTTAAACTTCCCTAATTATTTTCATTAATTAAAGATTCAAGATATTAACAACACCAATCGATTGGTCACATACTTTTCAACATACATTTTACTACTCAGCACTACCAACACTATAAAAGGAATATAGTAAATCAACCAAATCTATTTCTAGAAATAATTAAAATTACCATATATTTAATCATAAGTATTTCTACTCATAATCATAAAGCATGAAGCACATAAAAGAAGTAACAATGTAAACATAAAATAACAAATCCAAAATATCATCCACAAAGTTTTTTAAAGCATTCAAATCACTCCCTCTCTCAATAGAAGCCCTCGAATAGTGATCTGCTGAGTGTCGATGCTACCTAGGGAGCTCTCCTTGTAATGTAGCAATCCTGGCAGGGGGATTAAGCTTATATAGCGTACACAGAATTAATGTGGAAAATGATACTTTCAATTGAATTTTAATTATCACATTTTTTGACTTGCAAGTACTCCCATTTATAGCTTAGATGAAATTTTCATCCTCCAATGAAAAACTAACACGTTTCAGGTGATATCTAGGCCATTGAGAGATGCCTAAGCCGCTGTCTTATCTACAATATTCTCCCAACCATATGGAGCTTCATCGACATTTGTAGTATCCGTTCAACATTTCCTGTAATGCTATGGCATACAGTAACAAAATCAATTTCAACCCTAGGCAACCCACAAAATTCCTACTATGCAAAATGTATAAAGTTAAGCAAATATAATCCTAAAATGATCCTAAAAAATGCTCAAGTTCAAACTAGACATGGGTGAAAAAGGCTACTAAATATAACTCTTTTGAAGAGTTAGCACACCTCCAAACCTAAGTGTTTGCTTGTCCTTAAGCAAAAACATGCATGAAATATTTAAAATAACAATAATGCCATAGAATAACTTCAGTGAATTAACTAAGTAGATAAGTTTCTTTTTCAGCCCTCAGCCAATGTTGTAAAGCATATGTGTATTCTCGAATAAGGAAATACAATTTCATATTGTCAAAATCAGAATCCTCATAGTGTAGTGTGTGTAATTTAGGTGTATCCAATCAATATTTAGATAAGTTAGAAAAATTTAGACCAACTATGTTAAAGATATTCAATGCTACAACAATATTCCGTCACTAATGTTGGAATTCCAACTTATTATTCTCACTATGTTGAGTTATTACAACAATACCCACTTATTTACTAAGTCTATGTTAGAGCTATTACCAGCCTTACCTAACTTATCTTATAAGACTCTCATTTTGTTTACAACATTGCTATAACATCTAATAAAGATAAGAGATTTATAATTAAAATTTTTAAAATTCTCAAGTATTGAGAACATACACCTAAGTGTAAAAAAATCTAAGGATCCTACTTTCAATAAGATTCCACATCATTACCTATAGCATCTCATATCAATTAGTCTTCATCATCGGGCATCACTAAAATTCCCTTAACAACTTCATTAATTTCTACAAAATTATCCTATGGCATTACCAAATGTAACATTCAACTAACAATACACCCCCGAACCTAATTGATGCATTATACTTAATGCATTAAACATTACCAAAAGCAAACAACAAGTATTAAACACAAAATCAAACAAAATAAACTAAACATGAAAAAGGAAAGCAATACTCCCCTAAGTGGGTTTCCTTGGCCTTTTACGCGGGATAATAACATTTGGACGGAGAGATTTTGTTGTTGTTTTGGCCTTCATCGAACTTTTTCTCTACTGACTGGTTGAAGCTGACGTGGTTTTTTCCACAACAACATCAGAGACCAGAGTTATGGATGCTGGAGAATCTAAAATTTTCTTCATTTTTCTTCTGGTCTCTTAGTGTCGGTGGCCTATGCAATGGGATTGATCTCAGGTGGACTCACTGTATTGACCAATTGATAGCAGCGATGACGTTGCTTATCACCTTCACTACATCCAATTATAGTTTATCAACAACTGTAGCATCTCTTATAACTTTAGCTTCATTCAAATCCAACAATTGTATCGTAATTTGCTCTGTTGGAGCATCATGTCCTTTAGTATCCTTCTCTTACGGCTACTCATTGCTCACATGCTCTTCTAGCATATTTGATTTTATCCAATGAAAGAGGTTTTTATTCGATTTACGTATAGAACCATAATTAGTGGGAGAGACAAAGAAATTACAGAGTTCAAACGACTTGTTAAAGGATCAGGTTGAGCATGTTCTCCAGGGTGAGGCCGCAGGTTTTGAGTAACGTAATAGAGATGTGTTGTATTCAGGGGTCGATTGTGCGTATCCATAGATGCTCAGTTGCACTGTCAGATTCTCCATGAGATGCATTGCAATCCACTCTTAGTTCACCCAGGTAGTAACAAGATGTATCAGGAGCTTCGTTTGTTGTTTTGGTCATCGGGCATGAAAAGAGAAGTGTCAGAGTTTGTCGTAAGATTTCTAGTGTGTCAGCAAGTTAAAGCGGAATACTAGGTTCCTTCATGATTACTTCAACCCATTTAGATTCCTTAGTGGAAATGAGACAGAGTGACCATTGACTTTATGACCATGTTACCAATGACAAGATAGAGACATGATGTATTTTGGTTTATAGTCCATCGTTTAACCAAATAAACCCATTTCCTTCCATTTTGTATGGACTATACCTTAAAGAGGTTAGATTAAATGTACATCCGTGAGATTGCATAGGGTACCGACTTCAATTATATCAGACAGAGACCCTCGATTTATTTTTCCCTTTTGGAAAACCCTTCAAGAATCCTTAGGCATTAAACTATACTTTAGCACAACTTTCTATCCTCAGACAGATGGCCAGTTAGAGCGAGTTATTCAAATTCTAGAGGACATGCTCAGGTGTACCATTATAGATCTAGAGGGTAGTTGGGAAGACCACTTGCCTTTAATGGAGTTTGCCTACAACAATAGTTTATGGTCGAGCATTCAGATGGCTCCGTATGAGGCCTTGTATGGGCATAAGTGTAGGACTCCACTATGTTGGACAGAGCTCAGTGAGGGTAAGATAATGGGTCCAGACTTGATCAGAGAAACATAAGAGAAAGTTTAGTTGATTCAGAATCGGTTAAAGGAGGCTTCAAACAAGCAGAGGTCTTACGTAGACTTGAAGTGTAAGTACATCGAGTTGACAGTAGGGGATAAGGTCAAGCTTTCCTCTTGGAAGAAAATACTTCTCTTTGGGCTAAAAAAGATGTTTATTCCATGTTTCATAGGACTTTATGAGGTCTTACGTAGACTTGAAGTGTAAGTACATTTGAACCTCGAGTTAGTAGGTTCGAGTTAATCTGAGTGTACTTAGAAATAAATCTATTAAGTAATGTGGGATATCTTGGACCAAGAGATCTTAGGTTTGGGCTTTACTTGGGCCTAATGTATGATAAAAAGGGCACTTTTATGCTATGACCAAAGTTAGGAGGGCTAAGGAGGTGATTATACCATCCATAGTTTGAAAAGCTAATATCCATTAAAATTTGGTGATCTCATGTTGATCATCCTCTCTTTTCCCTCACACTCATTTTTTTTTTTCCTTCCCATTCATCATCTTCTTTTTCTTCCTCTTCAAGGAGAAAAAAAGGTTAGAACTTGGTGGATTTGTAATCCTAGTTTGACATTTTAAAGGAAAGAATCTTAACCTCCATCTTCAAAGCTTCAATCTAACCTTCAAGCTCCCCATTTCACCATGGCTTCTACAAATGTGTTTTGTGGGGGTTTAAGAGGCCTAAGTATTTTAATTTATTTTTAGAGAGTTTAAGCTTTAGGAAGTGTTCTTAAACCCTTCTTAACCTTTAAATTTAGTTAGTAACACTTGTGTTGATTTCTTGCTTAATGAGAGAAGTTAGAGAAAGCTCTAAAGCTAGAGGAAATAATAAGCTCACTCTTGGCTAAGTTCTTGAGGGTTCTCAGCAGTTTAAATCATCACGCTACACACTTCTAATCCATCTCTACCACATGTAGAACATTAGGTGTGTTTTGGTAGGTTGCATGAGTTATAAAGCATGTCCAAGGTAGATTACAT